AAGAACAACTAAACGTGACATAGATACTTTATTATGGTATAGTATTTAAATATATGCCCGAGAAACACATAATATTGGCCCTTTAAGCCAGGTTGAGTAAATTGAGCAATGTATGAATRCTCTTTGCTCAATCTACTCTACTAGGCTTAGTGGAGCCAGTTTGACATGACTTGGTTGACTATATTCAACACTTCATTTTTTAGAGTGCAGAAACATCTTCATTCATGATGAGGTCATATTTAATGTAGTAACGAGTTACATTTTAAATTAAAGTAAAAGTATTATTTTTAGCTTTAAAATGTAGCAAAATAAAAGTACAAGCAGCTATTAAAAATATTGATAAAATTACAAATCCTCAAAAAAAAACCTACTTAAGTTCTGTAACGAAGTAAATGCACTTAAACCTCTGTGGATATGTGAACACAGACACGGGTAAATCTGATCGGACACTTTGTTCACTGATAGAAATGTAAAAAAAAAACATTTGGTTTCTGCATTTGTGCTCTTCTTTTCTACACACACAAGTAAAAATTACAAACACTAGATGGCGCTGCAGGACTGCTCTTATATCCTCTGTTTTTTTATTTTATTTTATTTTTTTATTTTATTCATTTTTTTCTTTCCTCAGCTCTGGGACCTCCAACTGTTTCAGTAATGCATCAGTTGTTGATGCTGTTGAATTCTGAGCTTCCTAAAACAAGAGCAGAAAACAACAGAGAGGCTCAACTTCTAGAATCTGTCAAAAACAAACAAAAACACTCAGCWCTACTTTTAGCTTGATCTTTCACTCTTTTCAGTTACTATTTGCTCTTTTTTAAAGCTTTTAGCTAGTGTTCTGTTTCTTTTAGCTTAACCACAACTCTGGTTTATCTTCCTTAGCAAACTTCAGCTTTTAGTTTCTAAATTTGTTGAACCAAATTTAGCTCACGTTCTAAAGAATTAGGAGGTCATGTTCCTTTATAGTCATGAAAATCACCTTTCTAACATTTTAAATTTGAAGTACTTGAAGTGTTAATTGTCAGTTTTCTTTACTCAGTTTTTCAGGTGGTATTACAACGAGTTAAAATGGGGGGTTTGGTGCACATGAAACCAAGTCTGAATAGCTTCACCATGCAAGTTATTCACCAGTTAAGTTAAATAAGCCTCACAGCTACTGTCACGAGCCATTATGTGGGACGTAGGCGAGACAGCTAAACACCACTTCCACACAATTTAGATGCAATAAAACACTGACAGCTTTTTTATCTACTTCATTAAGCCAGTAATTTCTTATAAAAATCTCCCGCATTAATCCTGTCGATGGTTTCCCTGCGGTTCCTTAAGCTCTCCTCCAACCTTAGCCGCCTTGCTTTGATGCTTACTCAAATAGGCGCTAATTTGAGCTAAATTATGCATCTGCATGTAGCCTGCCCATGCCAGGGAATATAAAGTGTGACACTCTGAAAGATGGTGAATTAAAGCAAAGTGTGATATCTCGACGGGCTAATGGCAGATAGGTTAGTCCTGTCAGCCTGATGGTTTGTTGATCTGCAAGTCACTTCATATTCAGCCAAGGGGACGGGGTCACGTTTGTGATCATTTCAAGTTTGCTGAAGACCTTTTTTTTTTTCTTTTTGTTAGATTTAATGCTGGAGGGAAAGCCATACAGACACTCACTCTGACAAAGCACATTAAATATATATGAAGACATGAATTTTACTGTACTTTTTGCAATATAAGAAAAAAGTAGTAGTGAGGAAGCATTGTTTCATACTGTGATCTGCAAGTGTGACACCAGCAAACATTTTAAGAAACTATGATGTTTTCTTTTTGTTTTCCTTTAAAAAGAGCCAAATCCCAACCTAAAAACAAAAATAGCCACAAAGTGAGGCACAAACATAATTTAAATAGAAAAATGACACAAAGGAAATGAATTGTCAGGTGGTTTAGCAGTGTAATGTGCCGTTCTTGTGTCGCAGCAAAAACAAAGTACTAAAGTTTTATAATGTAAAACRGAAAGACCAAAGTTTCCATCTGCTTTAATATTACAGTATGTCTGCRTGCTTCAGAGTTGTAAAGTAACTAAGTACAAACACTTTGTTACTGTGCTCAAGTAGAAATTTTGGTTACCTGTACTTTACTTGAGTAATTATTTTTCAGCGTACTTTTTACTTTTACTCATTACATTTTTACACTATTATCTGTACTTTCTACTCCTTACATTTTTTTTGAAAAGGTAAGAAGTAGAAAGTCGAAAACTCCTATTTTATTCCGCGTTATTATTAAAATAAATACTATCCTATTCCTAAAGTATAAATTGTGTCTCCTGGATAGAGTGCATTAAATTGTGGTTGAATGAGAAGTATAAATATAC